CGCGTCCCCAGTGGCATAGAATAGAAGGCACTTCTGCCCTCCACACCTTCGTGCACACCACACTACACTATGTGCGAACACTTCTGTTGCAGTCGGATGTGTATACTCGTATTGAAGATGAAGGAGAAATATGCGGTCAGTCTCCTACTTCATCTGCGGATCTGCTGTGACGTAATGAGAGGCTATTTTTTGAACCAAGCAAAGAAGTTGCAGCGAGATGTGCTGATGTTTGTTCCGTTGGGCATACAGCAACACCAAAAGAGACGACCGAAATTGGCACTTTTGCGACTCTTGACTTGTCGAAGGATACAGGGTTGTCTGTGCACTTTGCAGCGAGGCGCGAAATGTGCTGTTTCGACAAACCGAGCTTGCTCTTCGAGTGAAAGATACCGAACAAGCAAGCGTAGTTGTTCTTCCCTAGTCATCAAACCCTTAATTAAACCTTCGTCTTCGCCTACAGCATCGGTGTCGCCTACAGCATCGGTGTCGGCAACAGCTCTATCATCAATTCTGGTGACTACGCCGCTGTTGTCGGTACTCGGAGTCACTCGAGCGTCAAAAGGGGGTGCCAAGCTCCGGGTTGCAGCAAGCTCGCTAGTCGTTTCTCTCCCCACCACAGAAGTGGCAACGTCGTCGATTAGACCAGGCCGGGCGTCCGACGGCATGTTGGTTCCAGAAGTGTGTGCAGCCACCGACCCATCCCGGCCGGCCGCGGCTTCCAGGCGACCGGCAGCTCCGGGTCCGGAGTCATCGTTAGGACTTACTTCACCATCAGGACTGATTTCACCATCGATTGCCCGAGCCCGCTTCGCAGACGGGACGTTGAAGAAGTTAAGTAAACGTGTCTGGCAGTGAGTTGGCTTATCCGCTTCGATGGATCTGCCAGAATAAGATTGGGACTTGTCTGTAAGTTTATGGAAGGTCGCACTGACCGGACAATGGTCTGATCCCAACACGGTTCCATGCACATGAGCCCTGACTACAGTGAAACTATCGTGTGCAAGAATGTAATCGATCCGGCTGCCCGCATTAGTCAATCGCGCTCCAGTTAACTGATTCCAGCATGTATAAATATCTAAGGGCTCTTCGGTCTCTATCGAGCTGCTAACTGCTCCAGCCGTCGTCCTTATTGCTCCGGTCGACACGGCCCCGGTACCTATTGTCCCTATGGGGACTCCCCCAGTCGGGATTGCTGCATGCCCATTTGGTTCATCCGATGGTGAAGCATTGCCCTTATTCAGTCCAGATGAAATGTCAATTTCGGGCGATATTTTGAATCGTCTGTAAGACTCAAGAAAGGTGTCTTTGAGCTTATATTCTTGTTCCAGGTAGTTGATCCACCCGTTGCTCGGGTGATGGCAAGCCGAGTCCGCGTAGTCTCGATGCGTGCAATTAAGATCTCCGACCAGAATTGTCGGCAGTTCCAAAGCGCTCAATAAACATTCTATGGCTACTTGTGCGTACAACTTCTTACCAAGCCGGTCCTCAGTGGAAGCCGCAAGGCAATATAAATTTAGAATAGCCACATCCTTGCTGTCCTGTGGTCTGCTGTCATGTGATCTGCTGTCGTGTTGTCTGCTCTCATGTGGATGTATACCATTTCCACTCACCACAGCAGAGTCAACATCGTCGTTACTGTGACCAAAGACATTGGGATTCTCGCCATTACCATTCGGAGTCCGGCGGCTCTTCTCCGTTCCATTTAATATTATAGTAATACAGCGTCCTTCGACGTCCAGTACACTGCAATTACGTCTGCGTCTAATACCGCCGCCATTCAAATATCTTACTTTCTGCTTATGGGGAGGATTTTTTGTTGCAGATCATCCGCAGTGAGTACTCCGATGGACGTGGGGAAAGCCTCTCCCAAATCTAACTACAAAGGGGTTTGCACAATGCGAGAGAGCTTACTCTATCTATAATCATTTGTACAGCCCAGCTGCATCCGACATATTTCTTCTTCACAGGACTCCAGAATTGTTCCTTACCCCGCAGCTTTCTCCTGTAGTATGTTGTAACACCAGAATACGGATTCTTAGGGACGTCGTGACCGTAACCTGCCACCGCGGAGTAAGTCTCATAGTCTTCAGCACTACAGGACAAATCGGATCCTTTATTACCGCCTAAGGGGCCTGGCATGTGCCGCCCCGCCTTCGGGGTTCGGTATTACCGCACTTACGTTATATACGCTTTCTGAGTTAATTTTGTTTCCTGCAGACAGACAAGTGCCGGTTCTGTAACATTAATCTCTTGAACAAGATCTTCGAGAAAGTCTTCTACTGTGCTTGCCCCACGCCTACAGCCATACTAGCTAACTCCACCCCTCCTCCAACACCCACTCCCCCTCCAACACCCACTCCCCGTCCAACGTTCGGTCCACCCGAGTCTTGACCTCCCGAGTTTCGGCCTCCCAGAATCGTACTTCGCGATACAGCGTCTTAATCCATTGACGTTGAAACTAATAATTGAGAACATTGTAAGAAAAAAGTCGGGTTTAGAATTTCCACCTGTTGCCACAATTTTGGCAACTCACGTAGGTGGTCATGGGCTCATCAGACGATCGTGTCTGCATCTGGACATATGTTGTATTATCGGATTTGCACTTGCCGCAGGGGAACTGACCTTTGGCCCGCTTCACATTTCGCAAATCCCAATCGGACTGACACGCTTCGAGCGCGTCTTTTTGGGCTTTTTTTCGTTCTTGCTTCTTCGCATCACTTGCCATTTCGACACTAGACATTGTAGGCAAATCCTCTACACTAATTCCCCCCATGTACAACGCACTATTGAACTCCGGATTCTTCTTGTCAGCCAAGTTGGACCTGAATGGACACACGGTTTGTGTAAGTGTGTGTGCAAACACATAAGTGTGTGTGGGCGACAGAAGTGTCTGCCAGAAGGTTGCCTACTTGATCGACCGTAATTGTGAAGTGTAATCATTTTGGTTATTCTTTTTGGTGACGTGGTAATCCCAAAGAGCTGTTTCCACTTCCGCAATAAGATTATCTAGTTGTACCTTATCCACCATGTGTATTTGGTCTTGTGCGAAGCCTTCCACGAACGATTTGAATAGAATTGACCTAAACCGGTTCCTCTTATCCTGCTTTGTCATCTTCCCTTCATAGACTGAGTCGTGCGTAAGAGGGTGCACAGCAGGTTCAAAGCTGTCGGCCGCCGCCGAAGCCTGAGGCAGAGGTCTTTTCCTTGCACTCGATTCAGACTGCTGGGCAGTCTGCTGTTCAGCAGCTGTCTGCCCCTCACCAGCACTGGTGGTTGAGGGCGCTTTGATGATCATTTTCCACTTTTCAATTATCATCTTTGCGCGCGTAGATACATCAGGCGACTCAGCTGACTTTAACTTGTTAACTATTTGACCTATCTTAGTTGAACTCAAGAGTTCCTTGGTAATGCTCGGGGACACCTTTTCATCTAACATTAACAACATATCGGCAGCCAGGGCCGTCTCCAGCGGCTCAGCCTGGAGCACACCTTTTGCTTCTTCTATAATTTCCTCTATCGTTTGGCAACCGTCGTCCTCCTGTTCACCAACGGCCACCACCGACTTAGTCTCAAAGGGAGCCTCCGGCTTTGACCCTGTCTCCCCTTCAGCGATACTCACACTCTTCACTTCCTCCTCTGCTAATGGCATTTCAAAAATTATTAAAGCTTCAACATGTCTGCTGTGAACCCTGTACCATCACGCATGTAAGAACCACACCGACTAGATCTCGCCCACCCCGCCCTGTAGGATGCTTCAAGCCTACAAAGGCAAGAAGAAGGGTGCGCAGCAAGGCCACTCTTTGCTCAAGAAGAAATCTGACGCCCTTACCGGCCGTTTCAGAGGTAAAAACGAACGCCACCACACACAACCTGCTCACCAGCCAGACCATTGCCACGGGATCTGCTAGTGTGCTAGCCTTTAGGCGCTTCCCAGACCGTCCACAGGTGGCCGTGGATGAGGTGCAACCCAACCCTGGGTTTCCCCAATCTTGGGTTCCAATTTTTGGTTTCAATCTTGGATTTCAATCTTGGATTCCCTCCCATCTTGGGCCAACCTTAGCCTCAACATTAGGAAGGGGTATACATATCGGGGTACACGTTGCTCTTTCAGGTATGCTCAAGGAGATCGTGTCTACGAAGCAGGCTATGGGCGAGGAGCTCAGAGACGCGGCATTTGCTCTGGCAAAGGTAAACTACGCTACCGACTCTGGCAGTAACTGGCAACAGTCTGTTGTGCAGAACGTCAAACAGCCGGCCGTCACCATCAACGTCAGCACAGACAACGTGGCTGGTGTCCGTCTACCCAAGTTCGAAATGAAGGCTGACACGCATTCTGACAGTAAGTGTGCTTCGACCATTGCCGCAGATACTCTTTTCTTTACGTAGTTGTCGGTAATATGGGTATTGCAAGAGGCTATCAGGTTCTGCAGTCTGCTCGAGAGCGTTTTGTGAAAGCTCTGGACTTATTGGTGAAGTTGGCTTCTACGCAGACTGCCTTTTTCACTCTTGACGAAGAGATTAAGATGACCAACAGGCGTGTCAACGCCTTGGCGAATGTGGTCGTGCCACAACTGGATCATAACATAAATTACATCGTCAAGGAGTTGGATGAAATGGAGAGGGAAGAATTCTTCAGACTGAAGAAGATTCAACAGAAGAAGAAGGACCGCATAGCTGCAGAGGAAGCCAAACGCAATGCCGAGGGCAATGCCACCGCTCCTCCGACCATCTTTGAGGACAAAGATGCCGATATAATCTTCTAATTTTTGAATGTCTGACCACACTGCCTCTTTGGAGGACTCCGCATCGAATATTATAAAACAGGGCTGGCTGCTCAAGCAATCCCGCTATATACAGGACTGGAGAAGGCGATGGATCGTCCTCACGGACAAGAGTATAGATAGCTATAAGAATCCTGCAGCCGTCATATCCAACCAGCCCACTGAGTCTTTGCCGCTGTCTCAATGCAGTACTGTAAGGACAAACACTTACCCACCCAGCCACTTGCACCTGTGTAAGGCCAGCTCGTTAAATTGTTCCCTGTATTGCTTTGTCTCATCCAACACGCCCCTCTCAGGTAAAAAGTGTGGAGGGATTAACCTACAAGCACGCATTCAGAGTAGACACACCCGAGCGGGTGTTCCTTCTGGTCGGGGCATCGGTGGCTGAAAAGGAGGCGTGGATTGGCGCTATCGGCAAACAGATGATCCATACCGGGCTTTCCAATGTGTATACAGAAGAAGACGTCGTCTATTGAGATGCGTCCAAGTCGAGGGGGACGTTTGGGTCAAGAGAGCCGTATGCCGAAAGGCATGGTACGTCGAAAGATGTCGTAGATTTCGATGCGTCGCTTTATGCCACCATGATTCGGCGCGCGCGCGCGTGCGCACACGTGTGCGCGGGGATGAAATGGCTTGTTTTAGTGAAGCTCGCTGTCGCAGACTGGTCTAAGGAGTACGGCCGGCGGGCTGACGCGCTCAGTAATTATTCCCGGCGGTTCTCAGCAATTGTTCCTGTTTTCAGTGCGTCACGAAGGAGCAGAGGCGGCTGAAAAGGTTCTGGCTGAGTACCCGAGCTCGGGCATGGCCTTGGTGGCCGGGGAGTCTTCATCAATCGTGTTGCCGAACCCGGCAAGGATCGCGGCGTTGCGGGCGGCGGCGGGGATGATAAATTCGGTAGGGTCGGGTTGTTTTCAAAAAAGTGTTTGGCAGGAGTTGAAGACGGCGCCTGCTAGCGCGCGAGTTGTCTCAAGCACGGGAACGAGCGGGGGGTTGGTTGGGGAAACGTTGGGGCGGAAACGGACGGAGCCGGTTGCTTGGGTGTTGGACCCGGAATTTGCGTTCAACGGGCCGATTAAAACATCAGGGTTTTTTTTTTGAAATCAATGGCAGACACTACAGAGGCACAGCCCGCCGCAGAGCAGTCTGCCGAGCAGCAGCAGCAGGAGCAGGAGATGGAGTCCAACTGGACGCACGTGGCGAAGACGTTCGAGGCGCTCAACTTGAAGAAGCCGTTGCTGCGCGGTATTTACTCGTACGGCTTCGAGAAGCCGTCGGCCATCCAGCAGCGCGGCATCAAGCCCGTTATTGACGGCCACGACACCATCGGGCAGGCGCAGTCGGGTACGGGCAAGACGGCTACTTTCGCGATTGGTGCGCTCGAGCGTATTGACGTGGACCGAGCCGTGACCCAGGCTCTGATCCTGGCACCGACCCGTGAGTTGGCGCAGCAGATTCAGAAGGTGGTGGTTACGCTGGGTGACTACATGAAGGTCCGTTGTCACGCCTGTGTGGGCGGTACTGATGTCCGTGAGGATATGAGCCGTTTGAAGGAGGGTGTACACATTGTGGTAGGTACGCCTGGTCGTGTACAGGACATGATTGAGCGAAAGTGCTTGGAGGTGGCACACCTGATTCTTTTCATCTTGGATGAGGCTGATGAGATGCTCAGTCGCGGTTTCAAGTCTCAGATTTACGACATCTTCAAGGTCCTCCCTGAGGAAGTCCAAATCGCTCTCTTCTCGGCCACTATGCCACTCGAGATCCTGGAACTCACCAACTGCTTCATGAGGGACCCCAAGCGAATCCTTGTCAAGAAGGACGAGCTTACTCTCGAAGGTATCCGTCAGTTCTATGTACTCATCGATTCTGAGGAACAGAAATACAGCTGCCTTACGGACCTTTACGAAACCATTGAGATCCAAGCCTGCATCATCTACGTCAATTCCCGCAGGAAGGCCGATGACCTCGCCGTCCGCATGATTGATGACCAACATACCGTCTCCCGCATCCATGGTGAAATGCCGCAGGGCGAACGCGAGCTTATTATGAAGGAATTCCGTTCCGGTTCCAGCCGTGTCCTTATCACCACCGACCTTCTGGCCCGTGGTATCGATGTCCAGCAGGTGTCACTCGTCGTCAACTACGACCTCCCTGCCTCCGTCGAAAACTACATCCACAGAATCGGACGCTCAGGACGTTTCGGGAAGAAGGGTGTTGCCATCAACTTCGTCGTACCTAACGATGTTGACCATTTGAAGTATATCGAGACGTACTACAACACCCAAATCGAAGTACTCCCCTCCGATATTTAAAAGCTTTTTCGCTATCACCAACCACTAACTCAACTCTAACCGCTAAACTCCGACCACAAAACTCCGGCCACTTAACTCCAACCACAAAAACTCTCACCTAAAGATCGTACGCGCCATGCCGAGCTGGGATGTGACTGATGTGACTGACAACCAAGCCAATCATGCTGCGACAGCCGGCAGCCTCAAGAAGCCCAGAATCGCCCCATCCGGTACGGAATCCGGCACACGCTCTCCCCCTTCCGGCACACGCTTTCCCCCTTCCGGCACACGTTTGCCCTCCCGGCACACGCTTCCCCCTTCCGGCACACGTTTGCCCCTTTCGGCACACGTTTGCCCCTTTCGGCACACGCTTCCCCTCCCGGCAACACTTCCTCCCTTCCGGTAGCACTTCTTTCCTCTTCCCGGTCCTGGGCCTATTATTTGGCATAGCAGGTGACGAAAACGGCAGCTTCGTCGAACAGGTGGTTGCAAAGGTGGGAACCGTGGGCGAGAATGGGTCCGCGGAGGAGGTGTGTGGGTATCAAGCTGCCTTGAGAGAGATGGCAGAGAGAGTATCTGAATTGCAAAGGCGATTTCCTCGTTGGGTGTGCGCTCCTATGACTCCGCAGCGCATGGCTATTTCGACGATCATGCGAGACAAGAGGACGAGCAAGTCGGAGTTTGTATTTTATGCGGATCGGCTGATCCGGTTGATCATCGAGGATGCCTTGAACGAGCTGCCATACCTGAGTCGCCAAGTAGACACGCCGGTAGCTGGCCAGGTGTATGACGGGATTGGTTTTTCAGTCAAGATTTGCGGCGTCTCAATCGTACGTGCAGGCGAGTCCATGGAGGCCGCCTTGCGTGAAGTCTGCAGGGGCTGTGTGATTGGAAAGATTCTGATTCAGCGAGACGAGGAGACTTTAGAGCCGAAGCTGCTTTATCACAAGCTACCGGCCGACGTTAGAAAACGCCACGTCCTTCTCATGGACCCAATGCTCGGCACCGGCGGCTCAGCCATCCGCGCCTGCGAAGTGCTCGTTAACGAATACGCCGTCCCGCCAAACAAAATCATCTTCTGCAACCTCGTATGCGCCCCCGAAGGCCTGGCTAACCTGTTCCACCGCTTCCCCGATATCCGCGTTGTGACCGCCATCTGCGATCGTGCATTGGACCGCGCAACCGGGTTCATTGTGCCCGGCTTCGGCGATTTCGGAGACCGCTACTTCGGAACAATCTCGTCCCACCACTAACACTACCGTTCGACAGGCTCGGCGACAGGCTCGGCAGGCGTACCATTGGGCCTAACAGTGTGTCGTTCCATTGGGCCTAACCGTATGGCAAGTAGCCGTTCCATTGGGCCTAACCGTATGACGAGTAGCCGTCCCATTGGGCCTAACCGGATGGCGAGTAGCCGTCCCGTTGGGCCCCATTGAACCGTGAAAGTGTATTTTTCTTTTGCCCACCACCATTATTTCATCTCGTTGACCTTATTACTTGGCTTGCCCCCATTACATTCTGCCCCATCACTTCGGGGTCGGTTCCATCACCCTTTGGTTGATTGGCCACATCGCCTTTGGTTTGGCCCCCCATCATTATGATTAATAAGAAATGTCTCGGTTAGAGTTGGCCAGGAGTGGATTGGAGGAAGTAGAGTGTTGGGAGCGGGCGTCGTTGCAGTGCATTGGAGAATGCGTGAAGAGCGAGAGTAAGCGTCGTCGGTTGCTTTGGGAGCACCGCACACGTGTGTGCGTGGAGCGTTTGCAAAAGGCTGCGGCTGCCAGTTTGAAGGTGGTGGATGACAAGGATGACTTGATGCAAATGGAGTTGGAGGGGTTGTGTGGGTCAACGAGTTCCAATGAGTTGTGGTCTCGATTTTACGACCGGGTGAAGGACATAAAGGGATATCATAAAAAGTGGGGTCATCATATCGCCGGTGATGCGGGTCGAATTGATTCCTCTGTGATGACGGCGGAGGTTGTTGAAGAGATTCCTAGTCTACGGAAGGTCTTTACGGAGGAGGAGGAAGGCGGCAAGGTATTGGACTTGAATGCGTTCCATCAGATGTTTGTAAATTGGACCAGTTTTACAGCCACGAGAGAGAATGAGTACAGGGCGAATGCGCTGGCTCGGATAAAGAAAATCCGTCTGGAACGCGACAAACGGAAAGCAGAAAAGGAAGGCAGACCTCCCATCGCCATCGAAGACATTGTGGTGGACGAAGATGACCCCGACGTCAGAAACAAACTTGTTGCGCCCGCCTGCGATTACGGCAAATACATCAAGACCTACCTCACCAACCTAGGCAACGTACCAAGACATTGCAAATACCGAGACCAAATCTATGGAGAATATATCGTCAAATTGGGACAGTACCTACTCTCATATTACAAACGACTATATCCATGGGCCGCAAACGAAGCTATGAAACAACAAACTCTCACAGACTTCGAAGACCGATGGAACCGACAACTCGTTTCTGGATGGAGCGGACAACCAACACACCAAATGGAACTCTATTGTGTTCACACTGATCGATTGTTCCAGAATCCAGAAGCTCTCGAAGCTCATCAAAAAGTAAGCTCATCAGCCCCAGGTTTCGTGACATCATAACGACAATTTACATTTCTTTCTCTTAGACCAATCGATATAAGAAGAAAAAGCAAAAGCTATCAGAACAAGATCTACAAAAAATTAGGGAACGGTCTGTGGAGGAGGACAAGCGACTGGCTAAGGAGGAATATATAGTATTGGAAATGTTCCGAATACTGGCTCCTTACGTTGATGCGACTTTACAAAACGTTCGCAAGAAACAGGCGCGCACTCTACGGGAGGTTCTAGACGAGAACAAACGACACGCCTCTGACGATGATGACAAAGAAGAAGTTTTGGAAGAGTCCAGCGACGACGAGGATGCCTTCAGTATCAACACCAGCAAAGTTAAGAACCCGCTGAATCTTCCTCTCGGATGGGACGGCAAGCCAATACCGTATTGGCTATACAAATTGCATGGCCTCAGCCATACTTTCGTTTGCGAGATCTGTGGCAACCAGAAATACTGGGGCCGAAAAGTATTCGAGAACCATTTCAGAGAGTGGCGCCATGCTTTTGGGATGCGGTGTCTAAAAATACCCAACACAGTGCACTTCAAGGAAATCACCAAGATAGAAGATGCGTTGACACTGTATGAGAAACTGAAACAAGAAGGAGAAGACAAAGCATTCTTGCCAGATCAAGAGGTTGAGGTGGAGGATGCTCAAGGGAATGTCATGACACCTCAGACGTACGAAGATCTTCGTAAGCAGGGTCTTTTGTAGAAAAAAGAACTATACAATATTTCGGTTGCACACGCGTGTGCAAGCGGTATGAATGATCGCAATTAATAAATTAATTAATTTTTTTGCTCTGCTTGCCGCTGGGCAGCTGTACCCAGGACCCAACGCCCTGAGAAATTATGGTCCTGCTGGAAATTACATCACCGAAGTCCACCAAGGTTAGTAGTCGATTAGTGTTTCCATCTGCGCGGTCGACCTCCTACCTCTTTCCGGCCCGCTGGTCGGTTTACACTCGCTGGTGGTCCAAAATTGACGTGGTGGTGTGTTTGATGTTTTTTTTGTAGTTTGTTCGGCGGAACAAGGCCAGCAGGCCCGCTGCGGTCCTGGTGCGACATGTTTATTGCTTGGCGGTGTGCCTACGTGTCATTGTATACGAGACGTGGCGACAGGAGCGCCGTTGGCGGGAAATCCTTACAGAGGTTGTACGTGGGACATAAGCGGCAAGTGGGAGATGCTTTTTGTGGACGGGCGGGCTGAGCGGGTGTACACGGACGGGTTGCGGAACGAGGCGTACGTGTTCCAGATCAAGCGGACGGACGCCGTGCTAAAGACGCGCTACATTACCGGTTCGATCTTTGTGATTACGCCAATCACGAGCGTGACGGCGGGGCTCTTCCAGCGGGCCTTCGTGGACGTGAATGACAACCGGTCGGTGATCTTCGAGCTGGCCGAAGGCTTCGCCGACCAGCCGGGCCGGAACATGTACTTCAAGAGCCGTGTCTTGCAGCAAAGCCTGGTCAAAATGTACCCGCAGCGCACCTTCCTTTCTGACGCACTGAACCTCGAAGGCGGTTGGGTGCGACAGGATGGCAGCCGCGTCAAAATCCACGACTTCCACCGCCTCGAAGGCCACGGGCTCTGCGTCGCACCCGGCTTCGCCTACTGGTACAATGACGAGACGCACGCCGTGCCCCAGGTCCGCCTCTCCACCACGCTCTTTCTCGACGAAACGCTCCCCTTCGAACAACATGCCTTCGACACCACTAGCCGCTTCATCCAACTCGGCTTCTACGGAGACGTCAGCCTCGGCGGCGATTACATCGTCATCAAAAGCCCCGCTGACGGCCGCCCCATTTTCAGCTTCCGCAGGGTCCTCGAGTATGCCACGCCCACCCTCCCGCCGCCGCCGCCCACCGTCATCACCGTCTCCGGCGTCAACCAAGTCGCCGCCATCTCCGAGGCAGCCCAAGGGGCCCTCCCCACCACCACCACCACCACCACCACCACCACAGCCGAACCCACTACCGAGCACCACCATCACCGGGATCACACTAACCAGGACGACGACCACCACCATGGGCATCACCACCACCACCATTACTGGCCACCACCTCAGTCGGATCTGCCGTACGGCCCGTCGGACAACCCCTGGCCGCGACCCGCTTTCGACAACGCGCCTGCGCAGTCCCTGTACGAGCTCTACCCCAACTACGGACTCTTCAACCGCGGCTTCGGACCCAACCACACCTTCCCCACGCCTCTCGAGCCTCCGGACGCAGGCGGGGCGCTGCCTCGGCCGGCGTGGGAAATCGACCCCTACGCCTTCGACAACGACCCCTTCGTCGGCCCTCCAACCAGTCTACAAGCCGCACCGGCCTCCCCCGGCCCTGCAACGAACCGATTTGACCCGAGGAGCGGCCCTGGTAGCCCCGCCTTCGAGTCCAGCAGCCCTTTCCACAGGGCCTTGTACCGGGAAGGCTCCACTGCCCTTATTGCAGATCTCGCTAAGCACGAACATCTCAGAAACGACGACCTTCTGTTCGAAGGAACAGAACGCCTGAAGACCATGCTCGGACACTCTCGACGACTCGCGGCCTCACAGACTGCTTATCCTGAGCCGGAAGACCAAGTCTGCTTGCAGCCTTCAGACTCTTGGACCGGGTTCCACGCCGTGGGACGGGGCGGCCAAGGCGCCAAACGCCAACTGAGTCCCTGGGGCACGGTGTTCGCCAAACGCATTCCAGTGGGCATCGTCTCTCAAGATGAACTGGATCGCGACGACGAGGCCGACAACGATGAGAACGCCGCGACACAGCGCCCCCTCGTCGAACGCCACTTGGAGGGCCGGCCTCCGGAGGGCCGGGCTCCGGAGGGCCGAGTCGTGCCCAAAACTACCTTGGAGGACTTGAAAAAGTTCTTGCCTTCTCAATTCACTGAAAACCCAGTGGTCCAGGTGGCTTCCAAGGCGATCGAGAACCGCGCAGCCGAGCTTTCCGGCGCCGAGCCGGCAGAAGCCCTGTTTGCTAAGACCCAGTTCTTCGGACTCGACCTGCCCAGCACCAGTCCGTACGACTGGCTCTGGAGAGCCAGCGCGGGACGACTCGCAACGGCAGAGCGATACAAAGACGAGGCCCTGATGCGCAAGATGAGCCGCAAGTCCGCCAGACGAGACGCACGGGGTCAGTGAGGGACCCCGTACGGCTGGTGCCTCTTTGCTGCGGCACATAATTAGGCGGCGCCGCATAATTAGGTGACCTGGCTGCGGTCCATAATTAGGAGACCTGGCCGCGGTCCATAATTAGGTTACACTAAATCGGCGTGTTGGTCTCGGTAGTTTTCTACAATGGTCCAGTACGCCGCGGCTTCGTGTTTGTCGAACACGCTCTTGACGTCCTCCAGAGTCCGACAAGGGCACATCTGCCAGTATTTGAAGCAGCGGCCTTTCATGGGTCCTTCCCAAACAAGCTTGCAGAAGGGGTCCAGAGGGTTGTCTGGCTCGGGCCACTTGATGCGTCTCATCATTAAGGCTTTGTAGCGTTTCACGGCGCGCGAGGAGCCTTCGACAATCACAAGATTGCGGACGCCTGGACACAGGATGGCCGCGCCAGTCATATGGTAGTCTTTGGCGTTCTGGTGGATCTTGTAGAGACACTGCTTGTCCGTGATGTCTTTGAGCTGGAAGACCGTTACCTGGACCAATACCGATGTCTCCTGCGCAGCCACCCATTTCTCCTTAGTCTTTTCGCGGCGTCGTTCGTCAGTCAGTTGCCGCTCCCGGTTGCGCTGCTCGTGAGCCTTTAGCCGTTCGGCCACCTGCTGCCGCACCTTCATCTCGATTGCTGTGGGGTTGGTCACCGCCTCGTCTCCCAGGACGCGCATCAGGTTGGACAGTTTGACCTTCGGGGGGTCCGGCTCGATCAGCCCCATCTGAATCTTGTCACGTTTGTCCTGCTCCCGCTCCTTGTTCCTTTGACGCCGCATACGCTTCCGCTCTTCCAGCGTAAGGTATATAGCAGGTGCAATCGCGGACTCGCGGTCCGCAATCGGCTCAATCGGGACCGGGTGCTGCACTAGATGCGTAATAATGTTTTTCTTCATCTCGTACGGAAATTCACGGTCAAACCAACGCAATTCCTCCTCTGAAAGCAAACCAGCGATGGGCTTAATGACTGAGCCATTAGCAGCTGACCCGGGAGCCGAACCGCCTGCATTGTCCTCTTCCCCATTTCCGCCTCGCCCCAAGCGCTTCTTTTCGATAGTCTCGGGAGTCAACTTGATTAGTAACTTCATATCCCACCAATCGAGATCCTCCGAGACTTCAGCCACCGGTTCAGTCACTTGCTGCTTCGATTGCCCGCTCGATTTCGTCGTTGACGCCAGCGCATCCACACTTAGAGGCGCTGCCTTCTCATGCTTCGATTTCCTTGCGCCCACAAATTCCAAGGCGGCAGCCAGGGCCAGCTGTTGTGTGGAAACCTCTGAGTCGGGCGGACTAATCCTAACGCTATCGAGAGTCTGATCGGCTTCGACGCCGAGCTTCTTCTCGATTCTCCGTTGCTTGCTTACGTAGTAGCCCTGGGTAACGAACCGTAATGCCCCTAATTTGGGCTTCAGTCCCACCTTCGTCTTTATTGTTGGATCGTAAAATGGATTATTCTTTGGATCAACTTTCGTCGACTTCATTCTTTCCGGCAGGGCCTGGTTAATCCGGAGTGTAGCATGCCGAGGCAATAATGCTTGACCCTTTGATGCCCTGGCGCGGTTCAAAACATCCGATAAATCTCCAATACGACTCAAAATCTGCTGAACATCTCGCGGCTTCCGGGTTTGGCTCTCTTGGGAAGCACGCGGTCCCTCCACTACAGGACTCGGCCCGCTATTCTGCTGAAATAAATCAAAATGTAACGAACAATTTAACTTACCGAAGTTGCTCCACCTTCAACCACCCCCCACCGGGTTTTGCGCTTCTTTGTAGGCGGCTGTGACCTACCCGGGTCCATGGCCCCTTTTTATTATTTTTTGAATTCAAACTCCCATCTCCAGTAACACATCCGCCCACGGGGCTTTGCATGTGCGGCTAGTGTCTGGCATAGCGCTGTAGTGCTCGCCCCATGATTCACAGAACCGGATTTGCTGTCGTTCGAAACAGGACGATAAAATCTGAATGGGCTGAGATCGAACTGTATCCCTGCCTTACGTAAAAGCTTTAGGCTGTTGTCTTCGATTTAATTTTGACAAATCTGTTGCTTGGGGTGAAATTGGGTTATATTCTCGCATTGATCGCGCATTCAAAATCGTGTGCGCACACGTGTTTCTATGTCAGCAGAAGCCAACAGCGACAACGAATGTGAATCCCTTCCCCAAGAACCGCTCATATTCGATGATATGCCCGGCATTAAACGAGCAACGACTCAGTCGCCCTGCTTTGACGAGACAATATCCATTTTTCCGGGCCCATCCTTTAGGAAGGGAGCAATTCACCTTCTCAGTACTCCTCGGGGTGTGCATGACCGGTTCACAACTCCACAAGGGATTCCCGATGTTTCCAGCTCGGTGCGGCCGGTGGATGGATCTCCTGCGTTCCGATATTTAGATACGGAGTCTGGATGGAGCGATGTCGGACGCAAAACAAAATCTCTGATGACGCGGAACTCAGCCATGTATGAAACGCCTTACGAAAGTGTGGTGCCGGAGCAGTGCCAAATAACCTGGATTATTAGGGATTTCTCCTCATTTCGGCATGCCTCGAGAAATGCCCCAATACCGCCGTTGAAGTCCCCAGATATTTCTTCGAAGGGCCTGAGAGCACTGCTTCATCCGTACTGGAAGAAAGGAGATATCGTGGCGGAAGTAGTATTGCCGGAATGCTGCAGCATTGCGACGACATATTGCTTCAAATTTTCGGTGATTTCACCTTTGGACGCGAAATGTAAGATTTACACGAATTGTACAATATTATCCTGTGGTAGTGATCATTTCCCGGGAAGTGTCTAGCACAGTTAAGAGAGGAAAGACCCCACCCCGAACGGTGGTGCGACTATGGCATAAGTCCATAAGCCGAAGGACAAGTTACCAGAAATTACTGACTAATAATCAACTAACGCTTGTAATTCAAGCTGAGGTCTATGATCATTCGGCAACTCCTTTTGTTGGCATTCCGGCGACGGAGATAGGAAGCGAAGACGGCGATGCCTGTCTGCTTCAGGATATTCGGGAGTTTTGCGAATCAACACCTGCCCAGACAATCCAAGTAGTATGTGGACCCACAATTTACACTGGATGTCGATTTTTACTGCAGGCACGATCACAGGTATGAATGATATCGGGGCGGTTATGCGTTACATTCTTTAGAAAATGCGGATATTATTGGCTGATAGGGAAAAAAACTGGCAGCGACTGGTGATAGGAGATTTGGAGCCAGCCATAGTCGGTCAAATCATGAACTTTGTTCATACCAATTCCTGTGAGTATTTGGCCGAAGAGTCTACCGACGATGGAGATCTGCTACGGTTGCTGTTGGCTTGCAATAATTACCACATCCCATCGCTTGCCGAGAAGATTTGTCAAAAATTGATGTGCCGATTGCAAATGCATAATGTCCTGCGATATTGGGAAGTGGCCAAATCCTGCGACTTGTGTGCCGCGCTGACGCAAGCATGTAAGAGTGATGCATAGAAACGGAATTGTGTTGTAGGTTGCCGATATCTGGATGGGCTTCCAGGAAGTCGTGTAGCGGACATGATGAAAAAGCACGTTAGTGATGTTTCGGTGCCGTAATGGCAATTTTCAACCGTGAGCGGCAACATTATTCTGCAATGAACGGTAAATTCGAGAGGTACGAGATGATCGACGGGGATTCGTTAAACCGATGGCGCTAGCGAGGGTGTACCATCAGGAAGGGGGGGTTCAAGATTTAAGTCCGTCCACATGGCCTGCTTGGATTTTAATTTGAGCCGAGAAAAACTGGGCCGGGAGAAAGATGTCCAAGCGAAGTGCTGGACTCAAGACTCTTAACAAGAAGCATCTCAGCACGTCGAAATCGAATGCTGCGACTCGGAAAGGAAAGTCGAGCACTCATGATACTCGTGACACCGCTGGGAAGGGCTTCGGTCGCAGTAATGCGACCGTAAGGCGTCTGGCGATGTACAATGAGAAACCCGACGTGGAGAAGATGAATGCCACTCCGGCTGAGCCGGTAGTGCGAATTGAGCCAAGTAAGAGGGTGTTATTCGATTGGGGAATCCGCGCCACAATTGTATCGGTGTCGCAGTTAGCGTGTGTTGAATATCTTTGCTACCTACTTGGCATTTCTTTGTTCTAGGTCGAAAGTGGTTCAATAACACGCGCGTGGTGACGCAGGGTAAGTTGGAGCAATTCCGCCAGACCTTGGCCAAGTCGAAGGAGAACCCCCGCTCCGTTTTGGTGAAGGCAACGAAGCTGCCGGTCTCCTTGTTCGACCATTCAGGCGAGGTTTCGCACAAGCGTGCGGCGAATTTGTTGACGGTCTCCCCGTATTCTGAGACCTTTTCGTCGTCGCGTCGGCAGAAGCGGGCGAATGTGGGTACGTCGGACTTGGCGGAGCTGGCAGAGAGGGCGAAACGGAACCACGCAGAGTACGAAGAGACGAAGGTTCAGCGGGATTATTCTCTGACTGAGGATTTGCGGGAGGAGGAATACAAGAGCCAGGTGGAGGCGGTGATGTTGAAGGGCACTAGCAAGCGCATTTGGGGCGAGCTATATAAGGTGGTGGACTCGAGTGACGTGTTGGTGCAGGTGTTGGACATTCGGGACCCGATGGGTACTCGATGCTACCACTTGGAGAAGCACATTAAGCGGGACCGGCCTTTCAAGCACCTTATTTTGCTGCTGAACAAGTGCGATTTGGTGCCCACCTGGGTCACGGAGAAGTGGATTAAGATCTTGAGCAAAGATTTCCCAACCGTGGCGTTCAAGGCCAGTGTGAAACACCCGTTTGGCAAGCGTTCTCTGATCGGATTGTTGCGGCAGTATGCGGAGATGATGAAGAACCGCCGCCACGTTTCGGTCGGTTTGATTGGGTACCCGAATGTGGGGAAGAGCAGTGTTATCAACACGTTGCGGGGCAAGAAGGTGTGTACATCAGCGCCGATTCCGGGAGAGACCAAGGTGTGGCAGTATGTGGACTTGACCAGCAAGGTCTACTTGATTGACTGTCCGGGGATCGTGGCGAACAACTCGGACGGCTCGGAGACAGACAAGGTTATCAGGGGAGTGGTGCGGGCAGAGAAGCTGGACTCGCCCGAGGACTATATAGACCGCGTGATTGAGCTGGTGGGCCGTGAGAAAATCAACAAGTGCTACAAAATTCCCGAGGAGCTCCAGGACTGGTCATCGGCCATCGAGTTTCTGGAGACGCTGGCCCGTCAGTGGGGCAAGCTGATGAAGGGCGGCGAGCCGCACATCGGCCCGGTCGCAATTCGCCTGATTCAGGACCTCCAGCGCGGCAAGCTGCCGTACTTCGTGCCGCCTGCCGGCGAAAATGCGCCTGAAGGCGAAGCGGACGAGCTGCCCCAGGAACTGGGGTCGGACGAGGGTGAAGGGACTAGCTCGGACCAGGGTGAAAGCGAGGACGAAGGCGAAGAGGGCGCCTCGGATGCTCATGAGGCGGGAGCTACAGCTGAGGATAAAGGGGCTGGTGATGCTGATGCGGCTGGTGATGCTGATGCGGCTGGTGATGCTGATGCGGCTGACGCCGATGACGCCGAGGAGGATGAGGGCAACTAGTAATTAGCGCTGAAACGCCGCGCCTCGCTTCCCGTTGTGTTTTTTAGAAGTCGGTGTCCAGGCTGAAGTTTTGTTCTTCCTTGTTGGCTAGTGTGCCGGGTTGCTGGTAGTCTCCAACTCTTTTTTCGAAGAAGTTGGTTTTTCCTTGAACTGAGATCATCTCCATCCAGTCGAAGGGGTTGGTAGTGTTGTATAGTTTTCCGTAACCCAGACATTGGAGAAGTCGATCTGCCACGTATTCTAGGTATTGGGCCATGAGTACGCCGTTCATTCCGATGAGGTCGACGGGCAGTGCTTGTAGAATGAAGTATTTTTCGACTTGAAGGGCTTCGTCGATGATGTTGTGTGCGCGGGATTGGCTGAGTCGTTGCGGGCCTAGTTGGGTGTATAGGAGGGCCCCAAAGTCGGTGTGGAGGCCCTCGTCCCTTGAAATGAGTTCGTTGCTGAAGGTGAGGCCGGGCAAGAGTCCACGTTTCTTGAACCAGAAGATGGCGCAAAAAGAGCCAGAAAATAAGATGCCTTCGACTGCGCAAAATCCTAGTAGTCGTTCGGCAAAAGTGTTCTTGTGATTCATCCACTTGACTGCCCACTCCGCCTTCCGCTTCACGGCCTCCACGCTCTGGATGGCGTTGAACAGTCTGCTCTTTTCCGCCTCGTTCCCCTTTAAATACACATCTATCAATAACGAATAAGTCTCGCTGTGGACGTTTTCCATTGCAATTTGGAAGGAATAGAACGAGCGCACTTCCGGTATGTGAATTTCACGCAAGAAGCGGCCTGCCAAATTCTCCAGAACTATTCCATCACTAGCAGCAAAGAATGCCAGCACGTAACTTATAAAATGTCGCTCATCGTCCTTCAAACCCTCCCAATCACTAAAACAGGATCCATGGCGGCAAAGAGCGGGACGTTAAGTCTGCGGGACTGAGGTCCCGTCCCTGAGGCCCACGGGACGAAGCCCACGGAAGAAGGCCGTAGCGGTGAGCGCTATTTCCTTATACGAAAGGAAAGGGTGTGAAGGGGCGTACGCTAAATCCTGATAGAGATCAATCTCCTCCGCAACCCAAAAACATGCTTGCTGCTTCTTTACCATGGCCACAATATCATCTATCCTGCTTTGAGAATGGTCCGGGTGCTGGTAATATCTTTCAGAGAGGAGCCACTCATCAATTACATCCAAGGTCATCTGTAAAATTCGCGAAACCAAAAATGCTCAAGTCGTGGTTTCTTTCGCCCAAGGGACAGCTTGGGCCGGGTTTAGCCCACGCCATGTATCGGAGGCACCGAAGCGACGCTGTGCCGGGACATACTCCCGCGCTAGGAGCTGGCGGGCGCGTTAGAGAAGGAGGCTGGACGATAAAAGGAGGTTCGATGCCGAATGGCAGCCCGATGTCGAATGGCGGATTGGACGAGAAAAGATGGTTTTCAAAAGTCCTGGATGGGGCCAAGCTTGACCAGGCTAGAGCTGTGCCTGGTAAGCGGGAGATAAGTTTGAAAATCTTCGACCCTTATGTGGACCAGTACCCCAAAGCGTATTCCCCCCATGGATCTCATCCTCCGGGTACTGGGTCCATGGCGCCTCCGAAGTATCGCAAGTATGAGGTTCTTATGTCTGAGGATTATCCAGCCCACGAAATTCACAAGTGTGCAAACGGAGCGACTGTAATAATATCGCCGAACAAATCGGATAATGTGAGCGTTGGAGTATGGATGAATTTCGGGTCGAATACCGGACGTACCGAGGACGAGGGTGCTGTTCACTTCCTAGAGCACGTTTTGTTCAAGGGCACGTATAACAGGCGTCAGGAAGACATTGAAAATTGGATTGAGAACAAAGGGGCGCGACTTGATGCCTACACCACGAAAGAGTTTGTTGGATATTTTGGAGAATGCCTTAAGGACGACGCCGCCGATTTGCTCTCCCTTATCATCGACATGTTGACAAATTCTATCTTGGATAATAAGGTCATTGACAAGGAGAGATACACAATTTTAAGGGAGTTGGAAGAGGTCGAGAAGTAAGTGAAAGGGGGCGGGACTGCAAGCACGAAAGGGCACAGAGTGAAGGCGTTGTTGTAGCGGCGTTGTTGTAGCGGCGTTGTTTTGTAGGATTCCTGAAGAGGTTTTGTTAGACTGCATTTATGACCAGTGCTATTCATCTGGAAGCTCTTTGGGCCAGACGATTTTGGGTAGTCGTAAATCTATTTGCGAGATTACTGCAGCAGGATTACGTTCTATTTTGAAACGGTTTTATACTCCTCCAAATTTAGTAGTAACAATAACCGGGAATGTTGATGTTGATAGGATACTGCCTATCGTGGCATCCCTGGCTCCTTCCTCGTACGCTCCAATTACATCTCGGTCATCTGAGTTTCAAGCGGATTGCCCAAAAGAGAGGATTTATGTCCACTTAAGCCCGGACCCGCATCTACGGGAACCACTGATGTATCTCGCCAAATCCGCGCCTTGCCCTAGTTGGCAGACGGAGTCCTATGTGCTGACGGCGCTGTCAAGAATGTTATTACAGGAACATTTACTTTCACAGGAAGATGATAACCAAGACGGAATCCCCGTTCCCAATGTCCAAGTACCCAGTTCTTTACCAAAGGCTATACGAGCATCTGTAGATCAATGCTTTGATGCCTGCCACAGAACAGGCGGAATGATGGGAACATACCGATTGGAACACTTGGAGGCCTCACAATTGAAAAACATTCGCGAGTGGATACAACGCAAGAGACTAGAAGTCAATGAAAATGTTGCCGCAGCTATCGAATCCATGGACGAACTCGATTTAGAAGCTACGAAATCTGAACTTTGTAACACAGCACCTGCACAAACACGTCTTGGTGGCCAGACGCGTGGCGGCCTGGCGCTCGAGGGTGGCGGACACTTCGATTATGGTTAGTGACATCATTGGCAATATCCTTGAAACATCCCGTCAGTCGGAATGAAGAACTGTCCAGACAGATGCTCGCGGATTTGAAATTGACTTCATTCAAAGATTTCAGCCGATTGGTGGAGCAAATACAGCTGTCTGATATAAAAACGTTCTTGAAAAGGACTTTACTGGATGAAAGTAAGGTCTGCCGATTTTTCATGAGTGCTGCAATTTCAGGTAAAGCTGTGATCACAGGCCTGATAGTTTTGCCTCCGGGAGTTAGAACGCTGGATGCTTTAAATAAATAATGGGCTATTGGATCCAGGGCATCCTAGTGCTCGTTTTGGTAACCACTTGCTATGAGATAGATACTCAATTAATAAGTAAACTGCGGGAGTGTGTGCACACACTTTTTGCGCTCACAATATTTGCGTAGAAGGAGTCTTTGCGTAGGGGGCGTTGGACGACCGTGTTACTTGTTGGTGGCCGCGGATGCGCTGTTGGTTCTGTATACAGCGGGGAATGGAAGCGGAGAATATGGCGCAACAATGGGATCTTTCCAATGGTCTGTCTACAGTTTACTTACAATGATAAAGTTGATGTTGCTGTACTTTGTGGTGTTTCCGATCTTCTCGCCAACAAGCAGCGCCATGGCAGACGAGTTGTCCAACAACAATTTCTTTGTCGGAGCTTTGCTGGCGCTTGGCTTGCCGTACGTTTTGTGGATGGCGCGAGCAAGTCACCAACTTTTTGGTTCAGCGGATTATGTTTTGGCGCAAGAGCCGTTGATCTTTACGGACATCATTTGCCATGTGACGATGGATCTTATTGATGCTTCGGTGGCCTTCACGTTTATATTTTCGTCTTCAAGCATCAGGGCCAAGGAGATTTGGATTTTGGTGACGAATGGAATTGTTATGGGACTGATTTGGTTCCTACACATATATTCGTTCCCATCGACGACTATCAACACGGCGCCCAGGGTGGGGGATGTTACTGGGGACCAGCCCGGGTCGGACATATGGGCCCTCTCGGCGCCCGAGACCGTGCGGGGACGCAACCTAGGTGCAGACTCCGCGAGGACCGCGGGCCGACCCAACCCGAAGAACATCATGGCCACCACTCTACCGGGTCTGAACCAGACTCCAGCAAGCAGCGGGCTGCCTTCGCACCGGGGCACCCGCAACGGCACGGACGTTTTGCTCACTAGAAAATGGGTCGCTCTCATTTCAGTCTTCTTTGCGGATGTCCCGTTGTTGGCGCTCCGCATCTACTTGTGGATTTGCTACCCGCTTGCCCCCGGCTTGCAGGCGATGTTGCTCAAAAACATCATCAGCATACCGCTTTCGGTCTTCCGGTTCGCCCAATGTCGGCGAGCAGAAAAAGAGGAGCTGGTCCCGTCGGCCCCCAAGGCCGTGGTCGGAAGCGATTCGGGTTCCTTAATAGCGCGGTTAGACTCGGTGAGGACGTTGCCAGTGGAGCTGGCCTTCCGGCAGCTGCAGTCGACTTTGCTCCCGCCGATCTACGGAGGCAACTCTAGAACCAATGAGGAAAGCCGGAGAGAGCGGGCGACTGCCAAGAGCGACGGCATGTTGAGTATATATGCGCCTGAGCCCCCTTCGCGCTGGTTCGGTCTGGAGGACACGCGTGTGATGGACCTGCGCGCAGTGGAGAGACGCGCTCTCGACATGCCTGGCATGGACTGGCGCGGATTGGACAGCGGGACACACAGGCACGCCAAGGCGGGCTCGATCTTCTTGCGGGTTCCCAGTCCCTCGAACCGCGAGCCGAACATCGGCGAGTCAGCGCGCACGTCTTCGCGCACGAACGGGAATGACTTGTGGGACGCGGGTCACGGAAGCCCTGGAGGGCTAGCGAGTGCCGGGCTGGCTAGCGCGGGTCGCGGGAGTGCGGGTCGGGGGAGCGTGGGTCGAGGAAGTGAGTTGGATGAGATCATGGTGAACGACAGACTAAATGAGTTGGGTGAGAAGCCTTCGTCGAAAGTGTTGTCGGACATTGAACACGTGCGGACGATCCCGATCCGGAGTTACGGGTGTGCGCGGATGCTGGTGAAGTTGAAGCAGAGTCTGTTTCTTGGTTCGTTGGCAAGCTACCGAAGTCGAATCGCAACAGGCGGGAGTGTGACGCGGTTGCAGGCGACGCAGTTGTTATTATTGTTATTATTGGATATTGTGGCGCGGGTGGGTGTGGTGGTTTTGATGTCGTTACCGCCGGAAGACTTGAGTGGTTATGAAGTGTTGCTGGATTACCTGTCTTCTGTGCCGCCGACTACGATGGCCCGTTCCATCGGCAGTGGGCGGTTGCAGAGTTTGTGGATGGCGACCTACGCGTGTTCCGTGGCGCTGGTCTATTGTGTGCTTTGTCTCGGACTTGCCAACAGCAGCTCCATCCTCTGTGGCGCCGTCGTGCAGGGCGCACACGTGTGTGTCTGGTGGGCCTACCTGCGCGCAATCGTTTGGGGTAGCGTCGTCGTCACGCACCGCGTGCCCACCGAGTACGGCTTCGTCAACGTGCGTCTCTACCGCTGGATGGTCCGCGCCAGCAACCGCTGGACTGTCGTCTTTGCCTGCGTCGTCCCCCTCTGGCGCCTCCTCCGACTCCTCCGGCTCTTCTTTCTCACTCGCCACGGCCTCACCAGCATCGCTCAAGGCGAACAACCTGACACCGACTTCTGGCCTGGCGACCTGAAGGGTACCGACTTGAAAGGTGCCGACCTGAAAGGTACCGCCCGGAAAGGTACCGACCTGAAAGGTACCGACCTCGCGAACGATGTCGGAATCCAAAGGGGAGCCGCGGAGACGCAGAGGGAGGATGCTTACACTGTATTCACGGCCGACGCACCGGCTGGGGACCAACTCCGAAAGAGGCCTTTGTCGACCGCCGCCGCGCCCGAGTGGAACCTCACTGCCCGGACTTTGCCGAGGACGGAAGACAAGGCCGAGGTCCGTGGCAAGGTGGGTGGCAAGGCCGGTGGCAGGGCCGGTGGCAAGGCCGAGGACGGGGGCGGAGGGTCGGGGGCGGAGGGTCGGTCGAGAAGGGCTGGCAAGAAGTATATGGAGCGCGATTTCTTCCGGCTTGCGCAGTTGCCGGACACAGATATTAACAGTCTCCTGGGGGACTTTGCTAGCGGCGTTACGAACGACCAGTACGAGTCCGTGTACGAGGTGTACGAGCACAAGGGTTTCGTGCGGTACAGCACTGTGCTGTTGGTCTTTGTGTGCCGGCACCTGAAGTGTCCATCTGCCTTCCATAGACGGCTGGCCAGTAGTGACTTGGTCAAGTCGATTCGTATGTCGGAGTTCTGCTTCACCTCGGATTACTTTCACCTGGTAACCAAGCTGGTGTGCGGCGGACTCGCCGTGGCTTTGCTCCGCGACCTGGCCACCTTCGTCACGGTGCTGACGTCATTGATCCTGGACTTCATCTACTTAAACGCCTGCAACGCGCAACGACTGCTGGCCCTGCGGGCGTTCGAATGCCAAGCGCTGTGCGTGGACCTGGTGAAGGAGTACCAGACTGCGGATGAACAAACGCTGAAAAGACTTTTCTCCAACGAGCGGATCGACGAGTTTCTGCACCCCCTTGACGACGAAGACTTCATTGTCTGTTCTGATCGGGTTGCAGCGCTCCGAAAGGAAGGCCTTTTTTCTTCACCTGGAGACCTTTATCCCATCACCATCTGACCCAAAGGCCGAAACTGTGCCCAGGAGAGGAGCATTTTGGAGGATAATTGGGGCATGGTGGAGAAGGTATGTCTCACGATTGCGGGAAGCGACAGCGGCGGCGGTGCGGGGATTCAAGGCGATCTAAAGACGTTTGAGGCGCTGGGTGTGTTCGGGGCGTCGGTGGTGACGGCGGTAACAGCGCAGAACACGGAGGGCGTGAGTGACGTGCACTGCGTGCCGGCTGCGTCGGTGCGGAAGCAGCTGGAGGCGGTCGTGTCGGATCTGCGGCCAGCGGCGATCAAGGTGGGGATGTTGCCGGACCGTGAGGTGGCAGAGGCCGTGGTGGCCTTTTTTGGCGTGAAGGCGGCGGAGGGGGCGCTGCCTCCAATCATACTCGACCCGGTCCTGGTCGCGACCTGCGGCGACCGCCTCAGTGCCGTGACCGGGGCCACATTTGCCGAGCTGGCACCGTTCGTCACCCTCCTCACGCCCAACATTCCCGAGGCCCTCGTCCTCTCCGGGTTGACTCCGGACCCTGCGTCTAACCCCCGTGCTGTTGACTCAGAGCCGGCGTTGGCTGTTGACCCGGCGTTGGTGGTCGATTCGGCGTTGGTAGACGAGATGGGGCGTCGGTTGTGTGGTGTGTGGCAGGCAGTGTTGATGAAGGGTGGTCACTGGGAGAATGGGGATGCGGTGGAGGACCGATTGTACGTGGGTGGTGTGATGGCTGCGTCTTGGCGAAGTCCGAAGTTGCGTACACGATGCACGCATGGGACAGGTTGTGCGCTGTCTTCGGCGGTGGCGGCGAAACTAGCGTCCGGGTGGGAGTTGGAGGCGAGTGTGGCGGCGGCGCGGCGGTACGTGTATGGCGCGATTGCCCACGGGTTGCAAAGACTGGGTGGCGGGCAACAGGGTGTGTTGGCGCACTCGTGGAACCGACTGGAGCGGGCGGTGCCGCGGCCGACCCCGGCGGAGTTGGCGCCCTTTACGGCGTTGGCGGTTGCACATGCTGGCGAGATTTGGACGGGATACGTCGACCACCCCGTCTGCCGCGCGATTGCAGATGGAAACGTTTGTCACCGCCGCTTTCGCCGCTACCTCGTTCAAGACCTCGCCTATCTCGGCCACTACCTCCGGGCGCACGCGCTGCTTCTCTACAAGCAACGCAAACCCACACCCCAGTCACTCGCCGGCCCGCTACGGAACATCGCTGCAATACTCAGTGAAATTAGACAACACCGCGACCGCCTTCGCCAAGGCGCCAAGGAGAACAAGGAAAACGACTACGAGAATGAAGAGGAGGAGGACCAAGAGAACAAAGGGGAGGACGAGTGGGAGTCGGAGTCGTTGGTGACTACTGCGTACTCGCGGTACTTGCTGGACGTGGCTGCGACAGGGAGCGAGTTGGAGTTGCGGGTAGCGATGTATTCGTGTTTGTACGGCTACGGCGTGATGGGCAAGCACATGTTCGAACGCGCCACGAGTCAGCGCACACTCGGTACGGACATCGTGGACCAGTGGCTGGCGACATACAGCGGCTGCGAGTACTGGGAGGCCGTACTGGCCGCGCAGCGTGAGCTCGAGGCCCTGATCCAAGCCAGTCCCCCGAGTCCACGGGACCTGGCCCAGCTCCTGCAGATCTTCAAACAAACGACCAAATACGAAATCGAATTTTTCAACCAAGCGGCATAACCACGCAACCCGTCGCACTGTTCAGTGGCGCTGCTCAGCGATAGTTATACCCGGCTGGTCCACTCTGTGAGTCAGGTCCCACCGTGTGTGTCTGTTCTGATTGCGTGCCATCCCACTGCCCCACTGTTTAACCCGGCCTCACTGTGTGTCTGGCCCATCTGGTCCGACTGTGTGCGGGCCTGACCACGTGTCTGAACCGCGGCGGCCCGAGCGGGTTGGGAGGGGGCGGGCAGGCGAATTATAAATGAAGAGATCACACCCGAGCGAGCGGGGCAGAGGCGCAACTGAGGAAAGCGGCAGCACGGATGAGGACCTGAAGCGGCAGCGGCTGGATGACGAAGACGTGTCCGGGTCTTCCGGAGTAGAAGTTGGTTCCCGGGCGAGTGAAATAGTTCGGGATACTGAAACGGTTCGGAGTTCTGAAGCTGACAAGGGTTCTAAAGTGGTTGCCAGTTCAGCTGTGCGGGGTATGAAGGCACGTCGCGATTGTCCGTATTTGTCTTCGGTGAACCGGTTTTGTCTGGACTTCGATTTCCAGGGGATTTGCAGAGTCAGTGGCAGCAAGGAGCACGTGTACTGTTGTCTGGTGTGCGGTGAGTTTCTGCAGGGTCGAGGTTGGAACACCCCGGCAATGACACACGCGCTGTCGCAGGAACACTGTCTATACATGTCGCTGGCGGACGGTCGAGTCTTTTGCATCCCCGACAATTATGAGGTGCTGGACGCTTCGCTGGAAGACATCAAGTTCAACTTGGCCCCGACCTACAGCGCCGCGGACGTCGCCGGATTTCGAATCCGGGAGTTGTACGGCAGGGCCCTGAACGGCGCGGACTATATCGTGGGCCTCATGGGTCTCAACTCCATCAACCAAAGCACCGACTACGCCAATGTCGTTATCCAACTGCTCTGCAAAGCCATTCCATTCAGGGAACAACTCCTGCTCTGCGACGGAGCCGCGAAAGATGCTGGAGCTGCGAAAGATGCTGGAGCTGGTAATGACGCTGGAGCTGGTAATGACGCTGGAGCTGAGAATGCCGTATTCACAAAGGATCCTTTGGTGGACAACTTGCAGAAATTAGTCAAAAAAATGTTCAACCCCAGGTCCTTCAAGGGAATTGCGTCACCGCACGAGTTCCTTCAAGCTTGTCATTTAGCGAGCAAAAAACAGTTTACTTTACTCAAGCGAAGCGACGCTCACCAATTCCTCGTATGGCTGATCAACTATATTGACAAGAAGACAAGGAAAAACGGCGGTTGTAACTGGTGTCAGGGCAAAGCACGGATAGAAAGCATCGGGGACAGTTCAATAACCATAAAATCGTTCTTTTGCTTGTCTCTTAATGTCCCGGAATCTCCGTTGTTCACCTCGCCGGCTGATACCATACCGGAAGCGCATCTATTCGAGCTGCTTGACGAGTATGGCGGCAATCTCACAGGCGGCACGACGCGAAAATCGATTGAAGAACTACCTGAATACCTCATTCTACACATCAAACGGTTCAGCCGAAACAACTTCTTTACGGAAAAGAACCCGACACTCATTAGATTCCCTACAAAGGATTTGGATTTATCAGAGTGTAGGCGGCCCACACCTTACATACGACCTCTGTAACCCTCAGCGTTAATGTCATTCTGGACGCGTAATATTGTGTATTTTCTTCAGACGTGGAGCCGGATGCTTTGCTGAAAAATCCAAACACGAGATATGATCTTGTATGCAATATAGTGCATATGGGGAGCGCGGAAGGGGGCTACTATGTCATCTATGTTTACAATGCTCCGAGCGATCAATGGTACGAAGTAGAGAATTTGAGGATTGTTCCGACTGAGCCGCATCGGGTGGCTGGCGCGCCAGCTTATATACAAATGTGGAAGCGACAGACGTCTAGTTTATTGCCGCAACGGTAACGGCGTCGGCAGTTACGGAGTCGCTAGATAAGGAACTGACTGATGGTTAGATTTCATTGATATACTGCTGCGGTTCTACGAAAAATGTTGGTTGACGACTGGACGGACTTAGAGATTAAGCGGTGGGTTGTGCGAGGAAGTTGAAGACGACTCGGTTTCTACGAGTGACGGCTAGACCGTGATTGATCAGGGCGCGGGTGTCTTCGGCTAGGGTTTGGACGAGGTGGCGTTCAGCGGAGTCTGTAAGTAGATATTTCCGGTGGACGTGGATAATGGTGAGGCAAACTTTGATGAACGCTTCGACCCGTTTCATGACCAGAGCGCCGGTGGACGGTTTGAGTTTGAGGAGTTGGCGGTACTTGGCGAGCTCGTCGGCCACAACACGGAGGATGTTTTTAGCCATGGTGAAGGGTAAGCCAATAAGCACCTCCGTGAGCCTTTCGGCGGGAATGGTGGCTAGCGAGCGCAGCAGGTATTCGTTCGCGCTGATGCCCATGAGCTTGTAAATGGCAGAGGGTCCGTCGTTGGCGCAGTCCTCCAGCACACGCGTCAACCGCTCCAACGACTTGACCGACTGCGTGTCTTTGACCGTCGCTCTCGAGCTAACCACCACGTCTCTCGCGCCACTCGTGGGCAGGCCTTTGTCGGAACGCGCTGCGTCCCGAATGTCCATGTCCGCTTGCTCCTTATCCTGCTCGTCAGCCAAGAACATCTGGTTTTCCGTCTTGTACCACCGTTGAATCGTGCGTGCACCAGTGGCTATATACAACTCTTCACTCTCCGCCGTAAAAGCTAGACATCTGCAGTCCGCCTTCCCCGCTCGCATCGTAGTCACTCGGGTACCCACCTGCGCGTCCCAAACCTGCAGAGTGCCGTCTGTCAACGCGGCCATGACCACCAGCTCGTCAAATACAAATCGAACGCCAGCTGGATATCCATCGCGGCCAGCGGGCATTGATTTCAACAAATTCGAAAACTTAACATCCCAGAACTTCAGATAACGATCCATCGAAGCAGTCACTAACCTTGACGAGTCCAAAGAGAAATCCAGGTCCGTAATCGGCAGAGAGTGCCCATACAAAACAGAATGAATTTTCAAACTATCTGCATAAAGCAGCACACACGTGTGGTTGACTAATCCGACAGCGATAAAATCGCCGTTATGACAAACAGCTACGCATGTTGCCTTATCCGGTAGTTCAGCCGACTTGGCCTCTTTAAACAGAATCATCTCATCCTCTTCCTTTTGCTCCTCCTGGGTGTCATTTCCCTTCTTGCCCTTGTTCTTCTTTTCAGGTCTGGCTTTTTCGAACCGCCACAACTTAAGGGTCTTGTCATGTGCGCCGATGGACACGAACTCCGTTTTAGACGGACACAGAGCTAGAGCTTTTATCTCTTTATTATGAGCATTGGTGTAGGAGTATATATTGCGCGCAGCCTGATGATTGATGAGGTTGAGAGATCCGTGCGTGTCTCCGACAAGCATTAGCTTGTCGCCAGCGCAGAAGAATGCTGCGGTAGCCTTGTGGCCTTTGTCCCATAGTTTGGCAGCCTTGTTTAGCTTGATATTACAGATTTGACGTTTCAAATCCCAAAGAGAAATTCCATCTTTGGTTACGGCAAGTAGCAAATCATTGCTATGACTAATGGCAATACAACTTGCGCTCTCGTCCAAGGAGTCACACCCCCCTAGAAGAGACCTTGCTAGAGCACAACGCGTCATCAAAGGAAGGTCTTCCCCCAGAGTTTTCGCAGAAAGATCCTTGCTCACGAAAAAGGCTGCTAGATCCAGAATGTACCTCTCCAGACAGTTTTGGGCAGTGGAGAAAATCACAACAACTTCATTGCGGTTCCTTCTCGAAGCGCCGCATACACAACATAGGGCTCGACCGACGGTTTCCAGAGTCTCCTCCAGCATACGAAAGCGCACACCGAACGCACTTGCGTCCTTGACATCCTGCTGGTCGCCAAGAGCTTCCCGGATGGCGTCTTCGTCTTGGTCCTCCAAGGGTTGGTCTTCCAAGGGTCGCTTTTTGTCTGGCGTTCCACTGCTCGCTGAATTGCCCTGGTCGCCACTGTTCTTCACTGTGCGCCCCTTTTTAACCTCGATAAACTCTTGGACACGTTCGATTGCCTTGGTCAACTGGTCTGTCTTTCTGTTCTCTAGCTGAGAGCTCTTCCAGTTCTTTCCCAGCAGAGCTTTCATCTCATTCATGACTTCTTCACCGGCCTGTTGCTTGACCAGTTGCTGTCGATATCTTCTTAGCCTTCTGGCCAGAGCGCGCACTTCGCGCTCCTGCTGTCGTTTCAAGTCGTAACTTAAAATGACTTCGACATGCTCTGAAAACGCGCTCAATAATATCACAAGGCGACAGTCCCTGTACAACCACTGGTCTCCCAAGTCCGAAATCCAACGACCGTCCGGCAACCTCTTATAATTGACTAAATCCGTCTGACCATCCGATCGTGGAACTCCTGGTCGCTGTCCAGAAGATCCCTGACTGCCCGCCTCCCCTTGCTCTAGAGCTATGATGACGATAGAGTTAACCTTTTTTTGACGTCGTGCTTGAGATCTGGATAGTGTGCCAGCATATATCGGGTTGTTGTTCTTCAGCTCAAAGACCTCAACGGTAGTTCCCGCCAGCCCCACAATAACGTACGCCTGATCCGGAGTGACTCGGAGGGAATGAATGGCCTTGAGTCCGTGCGTGCTGACCGCTGCGACCAAAGACTGCGAGCTGAGGTCCCAGACCCTGAGGAAGCCGTCAAGTCCGCCACTAAGCAAGTGAGTAGGTTCCGTAGACCAGACGCTCTCTGGACTACCGACGGCTGGACTATCGATGGCGGAATACAGGAACTCCATGCACGTAATGGCCTCGCCTGGCATCCGGTATTTCCCTTCGCGGTTTTCGAGGTCCCAGACGACTATATCACGGTCTGAGGCGGCGGTTGCCAGCAGTTCGCAGTTCAAGCTGGATGCGATACAAGTTATCGGTCTTTGATGTCCGTGAAAATTCACTTCGACAGTGCCTTGTCTGTGGTTCCAAATGCGCACGTTTCCGTCTTCGTACCCCGCCATCACCAGCTCAGGCCGCAATGAGTTGGTATGCAGATGCGTTACAGTCTCATACCGAGCCAGTTCTTCGTTAGTATCCACAAAAGGAGCCAACTTCTTACGACACACTGCTTCCGAACTATCCCACACCCCTATCGACTCATTACAGCCAGTAAATACTAAACCGTCCACATAGCCAACATTGCACTCGGGAGACGCCACAATCCCAAAGGGCGTGTCATAAGTGTACCGCAAGTAAGACTTCACCATCCCCCCAACTAGCCCGCGGCGATATTTAATTTTGGGCCCGGATCCAGCCGCTGACCTCCCGGCCCTCAGTCCGACCACAACAATCAGCTAACACATCAGCCGATGGATTATTGATCCGAAAGCTGGCTATTGGGGACTGGTTATTGGGTCCATCTACGCCGTTCGGTGTGGTGAATATTTGACCGAAAATCGCAAAGTTATTCCTGGCTAGTTAGATAGATAGATAGTTAGATACCTATTGGCCAGCATCGAAGCTGCAATACCCCTGAGCCGGAGGCCCCTGAAGCGAACCACACCCGTATTGTGCAAGCCGCCATATAGGACCGGCCGGAGTACCACAGCAACCTAGCGAGTCGATACCGTTAGGTACTCTCCTGGAACTTGTGTAGTCCTAACGTTAGGGCGATTTGGGTCCACCAGGTCAGCCAGATGTTGACCAGTCTTGTCACTTACTTGCCAAAGGTACTCTGCCCGAATATGACCACGAGACATCAGCTGTCCAGTACATGAAATAAGCATTCCGTGCATAATGATATTCCGCACGGTTATGTATGAGGCACGCATCGAGACATGCATTGAGGCACGTACCTGAGATCTTCCCATTAGTTTATAGACAAGGAGGCAGTGCGTGTGAATCTGGAGACGAGTGGGTCGGAGTCGCTGGGTCTTGAGGGGGAACCGGAGGCGCCGCCGGATGATTATGCTTCCAATGGAATGGAAGAGTTGGATGGGTTATATACTCCGCCGATTGTGGAGTACAAGAAGTGTCGGTTGAGCGTGACCGACTTCAGTTCCCAGTTGTGGTGCGAGACGAAAATGTGGTACAGTCTGGCGACTGGGTATCGGGAGGAAACGTTGGCGATGCGGCAGGGTACTGAACGTCACCTGCAGTTGGAGAAGGAGGACCACGAAGTAGTCGAATTGGAGGTGAGTACACGGGAGGATAATTTGGGAATACGTCTCTTTAATACTCTCGTTTCGCTGCAAGATATTTTGCCCCGCCAAGGCAAGGTTCGCGAAGTTTGGGTAGGTATATGCAGGTTTGACTCTGTTGTCCGAGGCGTCATTGACCAAATTGACTACGTTCGCCACCCCTCTGGAGCCTTGCTGATTAAGGATACCAAGACCCGGAGAACACCCGACGAACCTTCGCTGGCACAGAAGAAGACCTCCGCCATACAGTTGCAAGTTTACATGTGGCTTATTTCAGAGCTGAGACGCACCTACGGCCATGAGGACTGGACCAAATTCTTTCAACTTTATAATGTGGACCCCCAAAGACCATTCGAGACAGAAGTACTCCAAAAATGGAGCAATCTCAATGACTTAATCTTGGACTATCACCGGGCATTCGCACAGCTTCCAGTGCTAACCGACTGTGAGAAAGCGTCCGCACACCCCTTTATCACATTTACCCCCGATTCCCGCTCCCCCTTTTCTGCTTTTTGTGAGTTGCCACCCTCAGATGCATTGGTGGAATATGAATGCGCTGGGGTAATGTTCAAGGCGGACCAAATTCCTTACCGACCTTCGGCAACTATGTTTGCTTTGCACGACGCATTTGCTCTCTGGTGGGGTGAGAGGCGGGCTCCAAGGCCCGTCAAACTTGACGAGAAGTGGAAGTGCTATAAGTGCTGTTTCCTAGGGATTTGTGGCAACACTCCCCTTAGCGAAGAAGAGAAGGCGACGTGCATTCGTCAGAAGCAAGAACTGGATGTCCTAGCTCAAGACCTAGAAGAACTGGGAGACTGACTTCAGTTGATTCCAACTTGACTGTTGAAACGCGGTCGACTGTTTGTGCGCGAAACCGCGTACCCCACTTGACTCATGCTCAAGGCCGGCGAAGCGAAAGCTCCCACTCGTCATAAAACCGGCGAAATGAAATCTGCAGAAAACATGAAGCTTTTTAATCAATCGCGAATAACGAACCAAAACAACTACCAGCCATGTGGATGGAGCTCGCCGCTCCACCGGCACGAGATGGCCTTGAGTACATCGCCACGTCGTGTGAAGTACCGACTCCGGACTACTGAGCGCTGACGATCTGATTCGGCATTTGTACACGTCTCCTCGGACAAGAAATTTTTATTAAGGACATTGGTGGTGATGCGCAGTTGAATCCGAAGCCTGAAAGAGACTTCGATGAGGCGTTAACCAAATGGAAGTGGTCGCTTCGTTAGTGATTGGTAGATAATCTATGGAGTTAAAAGAAGTAGTGGTTCTCAAGTATACTCCGAACAACCAAGATCGCGAGAGACTGATGCTTCTGCCATATCAAGAATTTGTCGACAGGTACGCTATCGTATTATTCGCTTTCAGCGACGAGATTAACGTTGTTTGTCAACGACTACAGACGCAAGACCGTGGCACCGATACTATGAAGGTTATAGACGACTTTCTTCTGTTGAAAGCCAGGTTCCAGGAGTTGTACCGTCGTTGGAATCATAAATCAAGGTACCGTGCGTTGGATTACTGCTATTGTTTGTTGCGGAAGATCGACAGGGAAATTGAGATACGGATTCGGTGGGATGTAAGCTCTGCAGGCTTTTGCGAACATGTATAATGACAAGTATGAGAAGGAAAATCGGTACTACCAAAATGCTAAGCAGCGCCAATATCGGGAAAGGGGCCATCCGGGCGGCCCTCTCACTCGTGATCGCGGAGACGGTCAGGACTAACCCATGGTTAACCGCACTGATGAATGTTCGTTGTCGCTAATTCAAGGAGTGAACCGATTCAAGGAGTGAACCGATAGAATTGTAGACATGTGCGGTTACCGGTGTCTGGAAGGCTTGTGTCCTTCATGGTGGACACGGGGGCGGAAATCAACATATTCCCGGATGCCGTACTTCAAGGTGTACCTCTCAGGCTTCCATAATCACCTCTCTTGGTGGTAAGGTGGTATAGTTGAATTTTTACGGTAGCTGTTTCTGCCGTGACGTATCCATTGCTGTGACTTCCAGCTTTACAGCAACTTGATGCGTCCGTTAATCTGAAGGATGACAAGTTGGCTTCGTTTTTTGGGGAACTCCCTTTAATTCAAGATCCGAACTTCGCCAGTTATGACTCAGGTCTCATTGCATCACAAGAGGCTGAGGAGACGTTCACCGTTGAGCAGATTAACGAACGCATTAGATCGGAACTGTCTGCGACTCAGAAGGAAGATGTTGGTAGACTCCTCCTGCAGGGTCTCTTCAGTTGTGATTTCGCGCGGAAGAGTTCACTAATATTCCAACTCAAGCAAAAGAAGGCTAGTCTGCCGAAACTGTTCGAGATGAAGTTGCGTATTATATCATAGGCTATCTACCACCCATCAATAGAGAATTCCGAACAACTAATAGATGTTCTAGACGCAATACGTAGAGAAGGTGTAATCTCACAACGACAAAGAGATAGCCTACTAATCTCAGTGATGACGTATAGGAGGGAAGCCACGATGAAACGAGTGGAAACTTGGTCTCTGGACCGTCCCTTGCCAAGAGCTCAAGGACGAAGCCTAACGACGGTAGAACTCAGAAGAAGAATTATGACCAGAGAACCAGTCCTAACCAGACGAACAATCACAAGCAGTCGACCCTATTAACCGGAACCCCGAAGGATTTCCGCCCACAATTATAAATTTATACAAAAAATAAGTGTGTGTACAAACACGCCGCAATAACACTGCACCGTGCCCGGAACAAGATGCAACGAACGAGCCAGAGCCTTCGTGTTCACATCCTACGCCGAAACCTGCCCACTACCGAACACATAAATACTACGTATACCAACAAGAAATGTGTCCCACTACTGGCAGACTGCACTACCAAGGCTTCCTCTACTTTCCAAATCCACGAAGTTTTGACCAAGTTCGACGCGAAATGGGAGGGCTAACACACGTAGAAGTCTGCAGAGACATCACAACCTCAATTAAATACTGCACTAAGGAGGAAACACGAGTTGGAACACCTTGCGAAGACGGCCGAAAGCCCGAATGCGCACGCGAAAAGGGTTGGTGGCAAAAAATTAGCATCGCCGCGCTATGGGAGGAAGAGCCAGAATGGATGTTGAAGCATCACTCAGCGGTAACTGCCTACCACAAACAATTTAAAAAAGTCACGTTTGCAAGACCAACATCTCAAGTCATAGTGCTATGGGGACCGCCAGGCACAGGAAAGTCCCACACAGCCAGATCAATCTGTGACAATTATTACATTAAACCTACAGGCCAATGGTGGGACGGATATTTTGGCCAGGATTAGTGATCTTTGATGACTTTTACGGAACAGAAAAGTATTGCGATATGCTTCGCTGGCTATCCGAAGGGGTAGTAACAAGAAGTCGTACAATAATAACAGCTATAAGCAAAACAACGAACAATTGGTGGGTAGATGCTTTCCACCATTCAGCAATGCTTCGGTCAGTAAGCTCATTCCCACGTGATCGGAGCCTTGCACAGTACCGCGCTGAAAGATAACAAAGTGGTCACCCAGTCAGCGTGGCATAAGGATTTATTTATGAAGCTCCCCTTTCGGAGGTTATGAAGATAGTATGGATTCTAGTGGATCTTCGAGCACTCATCATACGGGAAATCAACTCTGACCGTGACAGTCACGCACCACAATTTACCGATCCACTACGACGTGCCAACCCTCACGAGTTTATGCCGAGTATCCCCCGTGGAGGTCAGCTCGAACAGAGCCCTGCCATTCGACCGTTTGCTGGCAGGAGGGAAGCCTCCACCCACTGACACTTGATGGACAGCGCCGGTACTCCGAGGTTCCATTTTGCTTCCGTCCCCAAGGAGTCTTTAAAAATGTCCCGAGAGGGATAAATAATTCCCCCGTTCCCCAAAGGCCGTGAGGCCAGAACCTCGCGTAGAGAAGGTACCGCCGAGGATTGTCCGGAAATGGGAGAATCGCTAGTGCTGGTTCTCGTCTGAGTTAGTCCCAGTGCGAACGTCTTTTGGGACATAAAGGACGTCGGGCATATTTGGGACAACGCGCGCGTGTTTGCAGCGCATCACTAGGAGAGACGTTTTTTAAGGGGAAACGAGGACTCCAGAAGATGATACCTGCCCCAAGAGATCTCCCTCCTTCTTACGAGGCCTCTCCCAGTGGCGGAGAGCCCAACAAACCTACGCCGGAGTTCTTCCCCAGTGGCGGGAAGAATTACGGAACAACTGGTGGACGACCTACTGGGTACGATCCCTGCGATGACCCGGAGCTGGCCAATGCTGGTAAGGCCAGATACAATTTCCAGACAAACCTTCAAGACGGAGTACGAACTTGGGTACCTCCGTACTACGAGGTACTTGGCCGTT